GATTCAGACAGACAGTATTAGATGAGGCTGATGAAGCCCCATCCAGTTTAGAAAAATGGAGTAGAGTTGGGGATGCAGAGTAGAGTTGGGGATGCAGTTTTCCTACTAAGTTAGTAGGAAAACTGGGGCGGGGACAAGGTCTGAATGTTTGTCTTTTGCCAATTAGCTACTGTTTGAACTTAATGTGCTAGGGTTTACAGAGTATTGAGGTAATGGGAGTCAGGGTCTCTTATTCTGGCACAAAAGTATCTTGTGTGGGACTAAGAGAAGAAACATGCGGGGGTGAAGAAAACTGCATATCCAGGAAAGAGGCTGCCCTTTCCTCTGCATCCCACAGCTCTCAGCAGCCTGCCAGTTCAAAGGTGAGGGTCAAGGTTGGCATTGCTGATCTTCAGAAAGCCTATGGACTTCTGGTCATGCATGTCTTTTTTACTTTCCAGCACACAAACCCTGTGCAAATGGGCAATGATCGGGAGGGTTAAGTGGAGGCCAGTAGATTAGATAAATTAGGGAAGGAAAATTCACCTCACTCTGTTGCCATCTGAATTACTCAGTCACCAAAGTCCTCTCATAGATGACATGTAGATGTTGGCATGTCTTGATTTCATTAGCAGTAACCACTGCTAGGAATTCATCAGAGAAAAGGTAACACATCTACTTTCTCAAATGAATTGAAAAGAAAAGGAAAGAAAAAATCTGTTTTCCTTAAATTGGAACCAGTTCTTCCTGGTTGATGCCAATCTGAGAATATCTGATTTGGAAAATGAGGAGAAAGCTTAGGTAGGCTGAGAGGAAAGTCATCTCTACTTGTTGGAAGATCAGTCACTTATAAGCTGTGCAAATTGGCTCCTTTCTTTTCCAGATGTTGAATGGCTTCTAATAATGAAATGGTGATTTCTTTAAAAAGCAAACACTTCAGGATGACCCAGTGCTCCACAGGCCTCCAGTCACCCTTCTCTTGCCCTCCCCCAGGCCAGGTTCACCCGCAAGGGGAAAACCGCAGGGTAGACAGGAGGTCCTGTGTTATATCATTGCCCCACTGGTTCATAATGACCTGGGGTTTCTGTACTGTCACGAATGGACTTCTCTCCTCTCTGATTTAGCAGTTTGCACCCAGTGGCCCTAGAGAATCAGAAATGTGTCTTTCACATATCACAGATGCACCAACACCTGAACCTTGGTAAACCTAAGTGACTTGGCTAGCCATCTCTGAGTCCCATAGCTCTACAACTTATGGTTAATACTTTACTTCATATTACTCAGAGTTTTAAAAAAAGGATTAAAAAAAAACCTTTCGGTTACTTTTATGTTTTTAATTTTTTAAAATTGAACATAATCCTCAAACAGTGTGAGAAGCCCAACAATTTGAATGAGTTCCTAACTGGTTTAAGTGTCACAGCAGGCAATAGTAAAATGTTAACTGCCTTTAAAAAGTCAAAAGAAATGCATAAAGCTGTACATGCATTTTGTTGCCACAAAAATAAGACTGGATTTGGAGAGGGATTACTTCATTTAAGTCACATTGCTATCGTTAAAGAATAGTGAGTTATAATGCAATATCTACGACGGCTATATAACCACCTACACACTAGCATCATTTAATCTAGAAACATATTAACATTGCTAAATGAACATATTTATAAAATACTGTACACTGCTTCTGCATGGGGTCAGCAGATGTAAACAAACAGCTAATTCAACTGGAGTTTAAAATATTATTTTAAATTCATTTGTCATTAGTCTTTTTTGCATAACATGCCAGTTTGTCTTTCACAAAGTCACAACTTGCCTACCACAGCTCTCAGGGCTGGTTAGAGGATGTATATCAGCTTATACACATATTTTACAATGGGCTGTAGGAATGTGGAAAACAAAGCAGATCAGGAACAAAATGCCCATTTCACAGGAATGCTAAATAACTTGAAATTAGGAACATAATTAATCCTTGCAACATGTGCTTCTTTATTGAATGTTACAGATTTGTTAATGATTATAAAGCTGTCCTGTAACGTTCATTAATACAACCACATGCTACAACTATGCTGGGTTAAACACAGGCTACATATATGTTTACATGTGTTTTATAATACAGCATTGCCAACAAATTGAATGGTATAGCCTATAGATATAACATGATGGATGACTGGATAATATTCATTATTATTAAAGAAGTTAAACAGCCCAAACATTCAGGAAGATTAGACTGTACAGTCTTAGAAATTAGAGTTTATGTACTATCCAGTTATCTACCATAATATTATCTATAGAAACCATCTTTTAGAATACATTTGAAACATTCAGAAGAAACACATTTTGTGTTTTCACAAGTACATTTTCCCCATTTGGTTATTATTACATATATATTTAAAGGAGGGGCTTTCAAAGTGCTAAATAATACCCTAGATCTAGAAGCTTAGATTTAAAAAAAAATCCAGTTCTATAAAGTGCTGCTTCTGACCACAAAGTACACAAACTAGCCATGACAGTTGTACCCAAGCTTTCCAGCTCCTCATTCAAATCCATCAAGGAGGAGTTTCCAATTAGAAATATAAAGTATTCTGGTTAATCAGGAAATTTTCATGGTTATTATCATAAAACAGCCTTCATTTCCCCCCCTCCCCCAAAAGGATCAGCAATTTAGAACAAATCATTACATATAGTAGTATATAAAAATTGGCACCTTAGAAGCAGATGATTAAAACAAAGCTATTACTTCCTTGGCTCTCTATGACTTTATTTATGTTCCTCAATAACTTGCTGCTCATGAGCTGCTTAATTCACAGAGACAGGTAATTAATGTCCCCTCGATCAGGGACGGGGTAGAATAAATGAGCTGAACACAAGCTGACTGTACAAGGCCACAGAATCAATGCCACACTGGTGTGCAGAGAACCCAGAAATGGAGAGAAATGGATACACATGTATGTGCACAGGAAAGAGATGGCTCATGGAACTTACACAGTTCATGTTTGAAGTCATTTAAATTTGGCTTTTGTATTTTACATGCTACACAAAAGATGTTAGAACTTCATTTTCATGTACAACAGAAGAACCAGGTAGTGACAAGGTCAGGACTACTAAGTACTTTCTGCCCCATGTCCTGAGCTCTTCTTTGCAGAAATTATGACAAATGAAAACACTCGTGCTCCTAATTTCTTACCCCCACATTCAGTCTAGTTCAGAATGAGGCCCTGGAGGTGCTGTGATATCCTTTCCTATGGTCAAAGAATTATGGTTTCATCTCCTTTTTGGACTCCTCTGCAGACTCCCTGAGAACCTTCTGGCTTTATGGGTGTGCTCATACTTAAAACCATCAAAGCATTAGCATGTAAGCATATCAGACTAGCAAAATCTTAGGAAATCTAAGCAAAATCTAAGGAATGAAAATGACAAAATCTTGATTCAGACTCTGGATCTGAGACATGGCCTTCCTGAGAATCACAGAGAAATGGTCTCAAAATGTAAAGTGCCTATTACAACTGTACTGATTGGGAACAAATATGGTGCTTCCTCATTCTCAATCATTATGGAACCAGGGGTACATGGACCCCTTAAAGTTATATTGCAACTTGACTTGAATATCCTTTTTTTTTCTGGGGAGAGCACCCAGAGCTTTTGTCCGATCCTCATAGAGATTGATGACTCAAGGAAGTTTAAGGGTAGCTGATTAATTCTCAGACCGAGTGCATGTTTGCTGAGAAGGAAATGAAAGGCCCAATAAAAATGTGTTTCTAGAGCAATGACATGTGAGGAATTGGTTGTTTGTTTCAGATTTACCTAAATACCAATAAGTGAAAAAGGAATTCTTTAACTTATATGTGACCATTATTTCTACATCTGAAAAACTTACATAAAGTCTAGTGGTTTTATGTACATATTTACTTGATTTCACATGAGAAAATTTGGAGTTCATAATTACAACTAAACAAAAGAACCACATAATATTTCGGAAACATGAAGTCTTTTTCTTTAAAGATTTTATTTGTTTTTAAACCTCAGTGATCCAATTAGGAATATGAAGATTCGGGTTCAAAATTTCTTTACCCAGATTCTTCTAATCCAGATTCTGACCTAGAGGCATATGCCTATGTTTTCGAGTCTATAAACCTCTCTGGTTGGAACTGAATGTCTATCAAGATTGTATTTGGCGTGATCAGTTGATGCAGGAGAAACCAGACTAAATGAGATGCCATGATAGCAAGTGCTTTGGAACGAAAAAGGGCCAGAGAGCAGGTAGAGAGTCATTTTGGCAACTCTAGTTTGGTACAAGGGGAAAGTTAATCCCAAATCATAGGGATATTAAAAAAAATCATAATTTCAACATCTGTCAAATAATATAATGAACTCTTTCCATGGAACTCCTTGTATGTTAGGAAAAAAAAACCAAACCCTTATTATACCTCAAGATGATAAAAAGTCCAAGCTTCTTAAGAAAGCTCTATATGTCTGTTTATATACTATATATAAACATGTCTCTGTGTAAATGCATATATATGTATATAAGCAGCATATACTAGAACTCTATACAGCTTATTTGCTTTCTATTTTAATCTAGTGTATAATTTTTATAGCTCTGTATATAAGAAAAATATTTACTGTATGCCTGCAACTGATGGCTTTGGGTTGATACCAAACTCCCAGCCAATTCTAAGCTTATTTATGGTTTTGAAACTTCCTTATAAAGTGTTTTGGAACATTTCCATAAAAAAGATACCAGCCCTTGAAAAACTCCAATTAAATTTACGGCGAGTCCAGATTAAATGGCAAAACTCTAGGTATGAAAATATCCACATGTAACCAGATACTCATATACAAAATGGTCATGTGATGAGTGGTGTGAAAAATTGGCAGTTCTATCTTGGAGATGTTCAAAAGACGTGGTGAGATCATGCAAATGATGAAAGTCACACAGCAGCATGGCACGACATGAATGGTGAAACTATTACCATATCCCATGTGGCCACTTTAGGTGAGTTCTGCCCACTATTTTTTTTTTTTTCTGTTCACTATTTCTTATTCAATGAGTGGCTTCATTGATGACAGGTGAAATACAAAATAAATTAAAAAATATAAAATTATTTAATTACATTCATCCTGAGCTTGCTTGACTATGCTTGAATGCCCACTGTATATAATAAACCTCTTGACATTGTTTTTAACAATTCTTCTTTCATTTTGATTGCATTACAAAAAGGCATTTCTTTTCCCTTATTTTCTTCAAAAAAGAAAACAGTTGTGGCACCAGAAGTGAATAATAGGAGACAGGTGAACTATGACTGTTACCTTGTTTTTTCTTTATAATGATCAATTACAGAAGTGTTGGCATGAGAAGGATGTGGGACGTTAGGTAGAACTGCTTGCTGCCGGCTTATACTGAATAAAAAGGATGCTCTTCATCAGTCACCAGTGATGGAGCCAATGTAAAAAGAAAACAGAATTGAAGTTTAGAATATCTCATTTGTACGCTGGCTATTTATTTATTTTATTTTGCAATTTAGCCCTGCCTCCTAAACTCTTGATAATGATCAGTAATTGAAAGATGCCTCCTGGCATGTTGCGTTCTTGAAGCCCCTTCCTTCCCAGAGCTCACAGCTTTCTGAAACGACTAGTGATACACATTCATCTCTTACCCTTCTCCCTCTTTCCCCTCCCCACCCATCAAGTGTGAACATGATTTAGATCCCCCGTGTTTGGCACCAGGTCAGATCAAAAGGCCTTCTTGATCTGTGGCCCAGAAGTTACCTTTGAGTGAACACCTCCCCAGGCATTGCTTGTTTTGCTCAGCTAAGAATAAAGTAGGTACGTTTCAAGGAAGGGGAACAGGTGGAGTTGGGGGAGAATTTTAGAGCTGGATTTCTGGTGGCTCCTGCAACGCTTGTTAAGAAGGTTTAGTTGTGCTTGCTTTCAAAGCTGTGGAAAGCAGACGTTCTGGACAGTCTCCTCATGGATAGGCTGTCCCCTCGGGCCTCGGGCTTGGAGGACTTACTTCTCTGGAAGGGATTTCGCAGGCTTGCTGTGTTCCGCTGCCTGTCAAGTTTGTCACTGATGGAGAAGCTCTTCCTGGTGTGTGCGTAGGACGCGCTCGGCTCCTCTGCGGAGTAGCTGTTGGCGCGCTCTATCTTGGGAACCGTGATGTTGTTGGACAGGGGTCTGTCTGAGTTATCGCCCTCCTGGGAGGGCATCTCGACAGCCACTCTCTGGCTTTTGGCCTCGCTCTCCTCAGGGTCAGAGCTGGGGTGGCTCAGTTCTGCTTCCCGCTCAGGGGGGCAGCAGGACGCATCCTCTACTTTGCCTCCGAGACCGCCGGGGAAGGTGGCTCTGTTGGCGATCGCTAGAGGGGCGTTGACACAGCGCGTGTCGATACAGTCTGTAATACTTGTGTATTCTGCAGTTTTCACAGGCACCCCAAAGTTGGTGTAATAGCTCCTCGAAGGAGAAAACATAAAGCTGTGAGACTTCACGATGGGGGCCTCCTCCAGAAGAAAGGGAGTGGCGGCTAGGTAGCGGCTGCTTTTGGAACGCTCAATGCTGTGGTACATCGGAGGCTCAGTGTCCCAGGGGTTTTGGCATTCTGGGAGGTGGGTGTAGTCTGAAGAAAAAGATCTAGTGTCCATGGAGGTGATGTCCTCGAAATCGATGCTCCGGCTTGGAGGTCTGTCTGTGGGTGCAAGAGTTGCATAGGCACTGCTTGAAGGGGCTGTGGAAGATAGTGGAGCTGAAAAGCTTGGCTCACCCAGCCCAAGGATGTTCATGGAATTGTCCAGAGGGTCTATATCACAGTGGAGCTCATCCATGGCAGAGACATAGATGTCTATACACGACGATGGTCTTCTGGAATCAGGAACAATGGCCAAGGTGTTTGCAGGGGCTGCAGGAGCTTTGGATTCTTTTGCTACAGAGTGGGAACTAGTAGCCCGGTGTAGGCTCAGGGACCTTTCTTTAAAAAGACTTTCCAACTTTTCTATACCACCTTTGTCTTTCATATTGACTGAATAGAATGAATGGCTTCGCATACGGGGCATTAGGGTTGGAGAAGTTGGGGACATGGTCTCCTCACCTGCAGGGTCTATACTCTCTTGGAGCTTGAAGGTGTTCCCCTCCTGGCTGTTGAAGCTGCTCTGGCGGACGATGTAGGCTGCATCTGTGCAGTCCGAGGAGGTCCGCGAGCGGATTTTGTTGGACTCGGCTCGCTCCAGACCTGTCAGGCGCTCCAGGGCCGTGGCCATGCGCCCGATGAGATCCTCCAGCTGCGCCAGCCGGATGTCCACAGTCTGGAGCGAAGCCTTCATGCAGTGTTCTCTCTCGTTGACTTCCTCCAGCCGCATGGACATGTTCTCCACCCTGTACAAGGAAGAGAGGAGAAGCAGGGTCACTTCTCTGCTGGAGCTTTAAATTGCAGGGACAGAGAAAATCCAGGTTGTGCCCAGACCCTGGCACATCCATGTCCTACTGTTGGGGGGAATGGATGTCCTGAACAGACTCCACAGATAGGTTTTATGGACCCTACCCCCACCTCAGACCAAAGAGATCCAAGCCACCAAAGACTCCAATTCCCATACTGTTATCACCACCTAAGGGAGAACTGCTGGGAACTGAGGGTGGAGTTAAGCAGCCAGGCTTGGTATATAACCGGACATGTGGGCCTTCGGGATCCTTGGTTTATCGCCGGTTTTGAGTGTGCTATTGGGGTCCCATCTCAGAGGAACTAGTAGGACACATTCACTAATTTATTTCTCTCTCTTTTTCTCACAGTTATTCCTTTCTTCATTCCCCCCCCCTTTTTTTTTGGTAAATAAATCCTTCTTTAGCCTTTTTGTATGTACCTGCAATTGAGTCTTATTGTAAGTCCCTTTTAAGTGCGTGGGTGAGGACCCACAGTCAGGAAACCCATTTCACACTGGGGTCGCCCTGTAACATTACCAGTGGGAAATGAAGGGTTGCAGGTAGCCAGGGGGTGAGGGGAAGAAGGCAGGGATAATGACACTGAGAATCAGAGAATACAAATCTTTTTGAGCTGGAGGAGGATTTCAAGATTACCTAATCCAGTGGTTTTTAACTACCGGTCCTCCTTGTCCTCAGTGCAATGTAATGCACAATCATAATAAATAAACAGCAAAGTGAAGTAGTTCTTACTGAAGTTAAGTAGGACCAAAGTCCCATCTTTCATTACTCCTGTAGTTTAGCTTGATTTAGGGCAGGCAGGATTTAATGACCTAAATATATATTAGGGTGTTGGTTTATGAGTCACCAATGTTGCATTTTAATGACTTTACCCAGAACTTAGCAGTAGAATTTTAGAATGTAACTTTTTTTTTTTTTTGTAGAGTATGTGTAAAAATTTGTATTTTGTGGGCTGGGATTATTTTTTGTTTTGCATTTACACAATAATCTTCCTTGTTTTCACAATAGTGGTTTTTTAGAATTTAGTGCCTCCAAAGGAATAAACATGGTCCTGCTACTAATCTAATCTGACCCAATCCTTTCATTAATAAAGAAAAAAAGCATCAAGAAATTTAGGATTAAGTCAAGTAATTTGTGGTAAAGTCTACGGAGTGTCTGTCAATAAGTGAATTATCCTACTCCTTTGTCTCTTTGAGTAGCTGATCACAAATGACTATGTTGCAGTTATCTAAGATGTCATGACCCTCCCCATTGGAAATTTTTGAGGGCTTGATCTGGGTCAGTATTCCTGTTTCCATCTCCATGTTGCCAGCCCAATACCTGCCAGGTGTCAATAAATGTTCACTGTGTCAGTCACTACTCTGAACTTGAATCCAAAAGCTTAATGAGCTGCCTGGCCATTTATTTACAAAAGGCAGAGTCCACATATTTAAAATAAGATTGTGCCATATTTATCACTTGCTCAAATTAACTTGGATAGGACAAACCAAAGCCCAGCTCTCATGGTTTAAACTCAAACTTCTACTTTTAGATGCTCAAAGGCTAATCTTCTGGAGAATCTAAATGAGATCCATTCACAACTTTTCTAGAGAGGATAAAAATACTTTCCCAATACTCTGTATACACAGTAAATAATTTGTCTGCTGATTCTTAAAGGGAACATGTCTGCCTGTGCAGAATTTGCTTTATAAAGAATGGTGGGGATGAGAATTGGGTCTCCGCACATCCCAGTTGTGGTGGCAGTGGTGGTGCTGTGTTAATAATAGCAATACCTCTGTTAAGGAGAAATTTACATTTCAGTGCCAGAAGGCTTAAGAGCAAGTGGTTTCCCTCCCTGAGAGAACAATAAGCTTAAAAAAAAAAAACTGCTTTGGATGGGGGTGGGGGACAGGGTGATTGCCTTGGGGCATATTTCTGTCTCTCCAGCAGCAACCCCTCAGTGCACTCCATTTACTCTGCTCTTTTATCCCTCAGTTTCCCTTCACCTAGCTTAAGCTTCTGGACTGCTTTCCAGAGCCCCGCTTTGGATACATTTTATTCTTTTGTTTCCTGCAGCTGTCCTAGAACCAACCCAGAGTTTCCACAGGTCCACCCACCCTTGCCACCATATCCAGGTACAGTTCCAAAAATCTTATAATTGGAACTGTTCTGTATCTGGTAAATCTGATGTTCTTTACCCAGCTAACGTGACTAATTTAGAAGGAAAATAGAAACTTCCCATTTCATGTTGTTTTGCGGAATAAACATAGCCCGAAGAAACAAATTACTTGCTGTAATAAGTTGTGTGTCTTATAGACTTACAATTCACTTTGTTTTCCACCATCTAAGCTTATGGAGTTTGAATTTGCAAGCAATTTCAATTTTTGCAATGCAGTAAACTTAAGTAAGAGGATGAAATATGTCTTCATTAAAGTCAGGAACAGGACAGATCAGGCTTTTCCATAGAACTGTTATAGGACAGGGAGAGGGGCAGCCTAAACCCCACAAACCTGCCTATTCTAAATGGGTTCTGCCATCCGCCGCATCAACACAAAACATAGGAGACTTTAATGGGAAGGAACTTTAATAAAACTAGGAAACAATACAGGTAAGGCAAAGAGTCTAGTTTCTAAATGAAGCACCCAAAGTTACCCGTCCCCTCGTGGGTAAAAGTCCATCCAAATGGGATTGGCCCAGAACAAGGCCCCACAGCCTGCCACAAGTCTAACACATCTTCCAGTGGGGACCCACAGAAAAGGGTCACAAACAACCAGACAACCCGGAAGGAAAAGAGCAAAATCAACATCAAGATAAAAGCTGCCATTGTCACCTCCCCACGGGTCTCACCCACATCTGTGTCACCCAGTCCACGACCAAAAGACAAGCGCAGTTTCTTCACGTGTCTCCTGGCTCCATCCTGCTCCTTCCTTCCTCAGTCTCTTCTGCAGCTTCTCCTCTTCCTGCTCAGCTCCACCCTCCCTTGGGTGGGACAGGGAACCTCCCCCTTTCCTGGAGACCACCCTGTTACAGAAAGAGACTTTTCATATATTCTAGGTACTAGATCCTCCTAGTTTTTTGGGTTGGCTGAGCAAGGAAAGGCGGGATAGTTTCCTCCCTCCTCTCCTTTCCTTTTCTGGAATATAGTGTACAGAAGTTGATGAGGAAAGAAATGAAAAATGCTTTTTTCTGCATAACCGCACATGCTCATTGATCTAGACTGTGGCATTATCTTCCTACACTGGGGGGACCTTCCCCATGTGTCCCACCTTCCTTCAGCCCAATATGCAACACTTCAGAAAACATTGCAAGAGGCAGAACTAAGCAGCTAACATGAGCCAACAGAACAGCAGGACCTGGTTAATAGGCAGTGAATGGGGAACAGAGGCTAAGGAGTCCATGGGTGTAAGTTGAAGAGAGAAGAGGTACAAGGAGAAAGAGGATACCTAGAGAAAACAATGGAGTACCCCATAGGCTCAGAAGATGTATGGCCCAGGGAAAGGAACTAGGGCAGAACCTCCTAGAAAAGGGCCAGGGAACTGTAGCAGGGTGGTCCGCAGGGAAAGGGGAGGTTCCAGTTTCCCTGACCCACCCAAGAAGGGTGGAGCTGTGAAGAAGCTGAAGAGGAGTCTGGAGAAGGAAGAAAGGAAAGATGGGGAGCAAGGAGACCTGGAGGAGGCATATGGAGCAGAGAAACATGTGAATAAAGCTGCACTTGCCTTTAGTTTTAGACTGGTTGAAACAGATGTGGAGGATAGACCCGTGGGGAGGTTAACAATGGCAGCTTTTACCTTGATTTTGATTTTGCACTTTTCCTTCTAGACTTGTCTGGCTGTTTCTGACCCTTTTCTGTGGGTCCCCACCAGAAGGTGCTTTAGACTTGTGGCAGGCTTTTGGGCTTCAGTGGCCCTGCTTTGGGCCAACTCTGTTTGGCTGGGCATTTACCCACGAGGGGATGGGTAACTTCAAGTGTTTGATTTGGAAACTATATTTCTTGTCTTTATTGCACACTAATTGTATTAAAGTTCCTTTCCATTAAAGATCTTATCCACTAGAGTATGTTTTGTCTTTCTGCAGTGGATGGCAGAACCTATTTAGAGCAGGCAGGTTTGGGGTTTCAGGGGTACTCCTTTCCCTGCCCTGTAACAGAACTATTATAACCAAATCTTTTTTTTTTTTTTTAAGATTTATTTATTTATTTACACAAGCACTGGGTACAGTCAGAAGCGTGGGAGGGTGGAGAATTCACCAGAGCCAGAGCGGGGAACAGAACAGGCAGACTGATGAAGTACACTGCTGAGGGGAGCAGCGGGCACAGCAGGAGAGGTCTGCGCGCCGTGTGGGACCCTCACCGGGGGCCGGGGATTGAACCAGCGCTGCAGAGGCTGCGGGCAGCTTTGCAGCCCAGTGCTCAACTGCTGCGCCACCAGGGGAGGCCCTATTAACCAAATCTTAACTCTCATGTGGACTTTTGGGGCTTTGGTATATAAGATTTGATTTTTTTTTTAAATGACTATTTTATCAATTTTCTCTCAAAATTCTGGATGTGTTTAACCACCTAACTATATGATCACTTAGATTATGGATGCAACTAATGGGAACTTAGTGTAGAACTTATAAAAGAATAAAAATCTTACGGTCAAATTTATGTGTTCTGTAACTAGAGTGCTTCCCTTAATCTTGAAAAACAAAACCAAAAAATATTTTTGAAAAGTTAGGGGTAAATGTGCTTGCATCACAGATTTATATGGTCTGAGGAACAAATTGAGATTCTTGGGTCATGATTGTGGTACCTAGCTGCTGATTCTGGTCAAACCAGTCAGAATATAAAATGGGGGTAAGAATGATAAGAATTTATGGATCAGTAGGAATCACAGGGAGGAAGAGACTTGAAGTAACTAAGAACAAAAGAATTATGGAAATGAAGACGTTTTATGGAAGGAATCCTTTGTTTTCTTCTTTCC